CATGACCAACAGGTTGATGTTCATACTGTCCACAAGCAACAAACAAAACAAACAGTTATGAAACGTAGTAACAACATGCACTTGAGGAGCCACATGTGGCGGCTAAATGTTTCATAATTTTCACACTGACTGGCAATGTTGTATGTAATGTTGCAGCAAAAAAATGTCATGACAAATTCATGAACATTTTATCAACAGATAATCTACACATCTTGAGCGAAGGAAACAAACAATTGCACTCAATGTGGACAATTACGATTGATGACCATACATGCCATGATGAAATATTGCTGATGATTCAGCATACATTTCACGTCCCCGACGCATTTATAGAGAAACTGTTCCATGATCATTCACTGCCAGCTATAGTCAAGGAATAGTAGCTTGTGTGTGTGTGAGATCGGCTAGCGGTTTTCTGCGCTATTTGTCACCATGCCATTGTGGGAGATCCTTTTTTGATCTGGGCAAAGTGTGAAAGGAACGAAAACGCCTCTAGTTTGCAGGACATGGCGAAGAAAACCTGCCTACGAAGATTCAGATTATGTCAGCCCTATGTGATAACCCCTGGATTCTTTCCCTGCCGTCACCATGCCATGTCCAAGACCTTCCGCACAGTGGGATTGTAGGTGGCATGGGATCGCGCCACGTTTTGACGCTTTTTGTATCTTTTTGTTTTGTGAACATCACAGGGCGACAAATCCAGGTGGCAGAAATGGTTGCGTGTTGCATGTGTTGCGTGTTTGACTCCCGCCCCGCTGAGACATTTGTCAAGTTTTGTCCGGCAAAGCCCGGAGTGGTTTGGAGCATTTTGAGTTTGGAGAATTTCAATTTCTGCAATGCAGGGTTTCACTGCCAGTGCTTTGTTTTCATGCACCTTTTGCATCCGAATCCGACACCTAATTCGATCTGCCTTGAGCCTAGCTGCCATGTCAACCAGACGAGTTCACCTTGCCACTGGACCTGTCGACATCGTTGTGGACAATTCCACAGCAGGAGACCCGGTTGCGGCAACATTTTGGCACAGTTTTTTGAAATCGTTTCTGGTGCAGATGGTGGATGGTTTTGGGGACCGGAGGGAGCAAAACAAATCAAACTGTACTGTAGTGGATGGAAATTGAACCGGGCGTTTTTCGACATTGAGAGAGATATATGTACACACACACATATATATATAGATATATACTTTGCACTTTTGTTCATGTTCCTAGTTCCACTTGTCCATTTCCTTCAGTTTGTGGAAGCGAGGAGATGTCATCGCAACTGTCCAAAGTAGTTTGCCAGATCAGCCGTGGCATGGCAAGACATTGCTCTCCAGCGGCCCCCGCCGCTTTGACCATTCCGACCATGTCGATGCGGAGAATTCAGGTTGCGGAAGTTGCGGAAGTTGCGACCTGGTTCTGGCCAATTTTTCGGTCTTGGCGCCACCTCGGCGTGGTTTGCACATTGCCACTGAAAAAAGTGGCATCACCATCCCACAGATACAGACGCTGTTGGATTTTGTCTTCACCATGGTCAACATGGTCGGGGCATGCCGTTGGGCTGAAACCTTCGGTGATGAACGTGGCAGGCCTTTGAGCTTTGAGGCTTTTAACCTTTATCATGCGAACTATTGGATTATTGGACCTGCTACCGCTGCCACTGATGCACACGAAGCGTGCAGTTACGTTGAGTTGCTTGGCTTCAGAAGTTGAGGAACAATGCTTCACAAGGCTTCCTTTCTACCTAACAGCAAAACTTTGCTATGGGGTCTTTAGCCCAGATTAGCTCTGGTGCTATCCGGTGCAGCTTCAACAACAGGTTCCGGGCAAAGTTCCGGAGGGTTCCGAAAGGGTTCCTGTGCAGATGCCCTGTTGAGGTTCCGGAGGATTCCGGTGCAGATACCTGGTGAGGTTTCGGAGGGTTCCAGTGCAGATAGCCGGAACCTCACAGATACCGTGTTGAGGTTCCGGAGGGTTCCATTGCAGATAAATGGTGAGGTTCTGGTGGGTTCCGGTGCAGATACCTGGTGAGGTTTCAGAGGTTTATTGCAGATAGCCAGTGAGGTTGCACAGGGTTCCCGCGCAGGAAGGTTCCAGAAAGTTAAGGTGCAGGTAGCTGGTGAGGTTCCGGAGGGTTTCGGTGCAGATACTGTACCTTGTGAGGTTTTGGAGGGTTCCGATGCAGATACCTGGTGAGGTTGTGGAGGTTTCCCGTGCAGATAGTCGGTGAGGTTCAGGTATTCAGGAAGGTTCCGGAAAGTTCGGGTGCAGATGCTTTGGAGCTCGATGCTTTGTGAAGTTCCAGAAGGTTCCGATGTTTTTAATGGCATAAGCATTTCATTTTTCTTGGGCAGAAACACTTAAACGCAGTATATGATGCACCCATATACTTGTAGATTTACTTTGCAGGAGGGGGGGCAGAGCCTGGCAAAAAAGAAGTCGATCCATAAATGGTTAGACCAAGCACTGTGCAAACAAAAAAAATGAAGGAACGAAACGGCAACGTAAAGACAACAATCTTAACACATGTGGGCTTGCAGACGATTGACAAAAGATGTACGGGTAATACGGTTGGCGTCGAACCAAAGTCCGATTGCACGCAATGCACGAAAACTTTTTCATGACCAAAATGGTGGTTCTACTTAAATAGTGTCCCGTTTCTGTGTTTTTCACACACTACACGCTGACATTCAGATACTGATTGTGATGATTGTAAATGCAGACAATACGTGTGATCAATGTGCTTTGGATGCGTTACAGCACTTTAGTTGGCAAAGGAAAAACACTGACAACGCTGAATTCGACGCATAACCTGTTTGATCAAGCGCAGCGCGCAACAAACCAAATGTATGACAAACAACATGGCAAGGCAAAGGGAACAATCTCAGGACAAGCCAGCGTGAGAACCATTCAACACAACACGACCGCAAAAACCTGAAGCGTCATATTCAAAAAACAACGACATTGTGGGCGAAAAGAAAAGCAAGGACAAACGCGGGAAGACTGATCCGCAAAACGTGTCGGCAAACAGCAACAAGTGACAGTGCTGAGTTTGATGCACAATCAAAAAGTGTTCAATCAACGCACAGCGCAATATGAAGGACAACATGGCACGGAAAAGGGAACAATCCTAAGACGAACCAGCCTGAAAACCACTAAATTAAAGCAAAACGACGACCGCAAAGCCTGAGGATATATCGAACTGTCACGACGGCGTGGGTTTAGAGTTTAAAGAAACGCGACAACAAAGGTGGCATGACGCAGTGAAGTGATAAAAAACGCAAAACCTGACTCGCGATCTGGCACTGCATGGGTGGCAGTTGCTAAGACCAAAGGATCCAACCATCACTCTGGTAACCTGCACGGGTGAAAGGCGCAGAGGCCAGGGATCCGACAATCAATCCGCTGAACTGCACCGATGCAGGCGCAGAGACCAGGGATCAGTACAGCTTTTCATAGGAATGTTTCATATACTACTTCTCATGGGAATGCGTCACATACCCGTGTGCAACATCATTGAATGATTGTATGTGTACGCTTGTATGTGTATGATTGTATGTGTATGATTGTATGACAAGGGTGCGCATGATGTCATGATGACGGTCATAAGACCATATACATTCAGTAACAGCGTGTCATCCAACATGATTGTGTCTGTATCAATTCATGTTGGTTGCTTGCCCAAGATCAATAAGCAATTCTGCTACCTGCAGGAATGGAATGGAATGAACACATCAACACCTAAGTAGACACCGTGAGCACTTTCCAGGGCCCTGATTCATTTACCTGCGTGCCTGCGTGCAGCACCATTGCATGGTTGTATGTGTATGACTGTATGGTTGTATGTGCATGATTGTATGACAATGTGTGTATGATGTTTTCATGACGATCACAAGACCATATACAACTAGGAAGAACGTGTAATCCACAATGATTGCGAGTGTATGAGTTCATGTTGGTTGCTTGCCGCAGATTCATAAACAATCTTGTCAACAGCAGGAGCGAATGGTGAACACAAAAGTGTGCAAAGTGAACACTTGCACCTCATGTGTTTGTACTACTTCTCATGGGAATGCGTCACGTACCTGTGTGCGACATCATTGCATGGTTGTATGTGTATGCTTGTATCTGTATGATTGTACGTGTATTGTGGTTTGACAATGTGCGCATGATGTCATGATGACAAACACAAGATCATATACAGATGGTAGCAGCGTGTCATCCAACATGATTGCCTTTGTATCAATTCATGTTGGTTGAGATACCTGGTGAGGTTCCGGAAGGTTCCGATGTAGATACCTGTTGCGGTTCCGGAAGGTTCCGGTGCAGACACCTGGTCAGCTTCTGGAGGGTTCCTGTGCAGATACCTGTTGAGGTTCCTGGCCCTGGTTCTTTTACCATTGTGCAGCACCATTGCATGCTTGTATGTGTATGATTGTATCTGTATGATTGTATGTGTATGATTGTATGACAATGTGCGCATGATGTCATCGTGAAAGTCACATGACTACTAGAGTTAGTAACAGCGTACAGTCCAACATGACTGCCTATGTATGAGTTCACTTGTTTGATGACAACGATGCAAGGTCTCATGGTGGCGTTTTCTAGTCTGAAATCTGGAAGCAGTCTCTTTTTAATACCACAGCTTGCAGCGGGTGATGTTCCGTTCTGAAACGGCGCTGTGAAAAATGAAACAAAGCAGAAACTTCCAAGCTGTTGGGGATAGCACCCGGGCTTATTTTCAAGCAAGTGTGCTACGCGAGAAGAAATGTATTCGAACATCAGATGGTGCCTGTGGGTTCAAACGGTTCAAACTCTTCATTTTGGGCGTGTCCAAAAAATGGGATGCGTATGGATACATAGACAAACGGCCCATTAAACAGGAAAGTGATGATCAAGTAGTATATATATATATGTTTACATAGGGAAACTTCGTTTTTTGGAGGCAAACAGTGCTGTGACAAATCCTGAGGCTTGTGGCAGATAGTCCTGAGGCCCAGAGACCTTTGTGGTTTGTCTCGCATGCATGGCTTGAACCCATACACCTCTTTCTCACCTGCCTCCGCCGGCACTCAACCCTTCGAGAACTCCGCGGTCCAGCATATTGGGTATGTGCTTACGCGAACAACCAGCATGCATTGGATGAAGCAATTTCCAACAACCCGCGCAAAACTTCATTTTACAAAGCAATGAAGCTATGCTATGGGGTGTTGCTGGTTCTGGACACACAGGCGACACCATTTAGCAGCTATCTGGACAACCTCCGCGCGGTGGCTGCGGGTCTATGCATTGCTGATGGGCCTTGGCAGTGCTTAGAAACGAATTGTTCAGATGTGGTGCTTGCAAGTTTCGATTTGCTTCAGAAGATTTGGGCTGTGTCTTCAAAAGAGCGGAACGCATTGATGCATGCCATGCATGGCAATGGTGCAGGAAGCAGAGCAACAGCTCGCAAAAGGAAACAGAAACAAAGCAATAACCAAGCAAATGGCTTCAATTTGCAACAAGCAGGTGAGATTCTCAAACTACTCTCTCAGCTTTTCCAATTGTTGGGACTCGGGGGTAGCGGTGGGAATTTGCTTCAACAGCTCAGTGCTATGATGGGCCATGGCGGGTGTGCCAAACCCAAGAAGACTAAGAACAAGAACAAAAATAAACAGGGCGGTGATGGTGGTCTGGGGGATTACGGCCAAGGGGGTGGTTTTTACCCTTCTTCTCCTCCTACTCAGCCCCCGCAGAATACTTCGAAACCACATCCTAAGCAAAAGGCGGACGCCCAAAAACAGCCACACACAGAGCAGCAGCCCCACAAAACGCCCAAGACCTTTGCTGAAGTGGTTCGAGCCAACACTGCGTTTAAGCCGGTGTGGAGCCTGCGTCAGTCAGACTGGACGGGGCCCATTTTGGGCTTTGATGACTTTTGTGTCGCACTGGATAAGCCTGGAAATATTTCAGCTACAGCGCAAGTGAACTCGGAAGAGCAACTTGAGGAGTTGCAGGTTTTGCTGAAAGGCGATTCCCCTGATATCAAAAGAGAGCTCAACATCACAGCTGTGATGCTAGCGCCGAAAGAGGCCAAGCAGACTGAGGATCGACCTTTGCGGATGGTGCCAGGAAAGATCTCGGGCAAGGTGCAGCCCAGGCAGGCGTTTGTGATCCCACTTCAAGGCCAAGGGCCATCACTCAAGAGAGCTGCCGTTGTGTCAGCGGCTCCTGCAGTGCAGCCTGAAACTGTTGTAGTGAGATTAAGTGTTGATGCAAAATATTTGCAAAACAACGAGTGGCAGAGCATCCAGGCCAAGCCAAAGGCAAACGCGCAGGCTTGGTTGCATCGGCATGTTCCAGAGCATGTTGCGGACAAAGTCTTTGATATGTGGGCGTTTCAGCAAGAAAGCATGAAAGGCGGAGGCAAGCCAGTGATCACTGGCCTTTTACGCATTGAGCGAAGTGCTGCCAAAGCTCTTCTAGGCTGCTCAGGCAAAAGTACCTGGTTTGTGGAGCCTTTGCAATGGAACAACTCCGTGATTGAATCTTGCGATGTTGAGTGGGTCAAGAAAAGTTCGGAACTTGATGGGCCCAGCTACTTGCAGAAGGTTCAGTCCATGGCTGGTGACCTGGGCATTGCCCGGGGATGGAATGGACTGGGAGTACGTAAGCCCAGGAGCGCCGAGCCTCCTCCTAAGGCCAGAGCTTGGCGCGTCACTGGTGTTCCGCGAGATTGGGCGGCTAGTACCTTGACTCAGGAACTTACACGTGCTGGCCTGACTGAACTCAAGGTGTTGTCCCGGAAAACTGTGGGCAAACAAGTGGAATGGTGGGTGCAGGCCAATGCTCAAAAGGATATGGATTTCATTGAAATTCAGGCTGGCGAAAAAGTCATTGTAGCTGTTGAAGCTCCAAGACAAAGACGGCAGAGAACACATACCATGAAACTGGCTAGCAATGGAAGGGTCAGTTATAACCAGAGCCATGCATGGCAGGCGATTGCCACGCCTGCTCCTCGCAAATCTTTCTACATGGGAACGCCAGTCAAAAAGCCAGTGACTATTGCAGGGGCTGAGAAGGTTCCTGCTGAGAATTTGGACGAGGACAAGTCGGACGCAAAGATGGACAATGCTGGAGAACCCGCTGGGGCAAAAAGAACTGTCAGTACTCCTGAAAAGAGTCCTCCGGCCAAGCGTGTTGCGGGGGAACCCAAGCCCCCTCACAATATGAAGGTGAAAAGCATCCCTGCTGACGGCAACTGTCTTTTTGAAGCCCTTGCTCAAAGTTTGGGCGGAAAAACAGCCAGGAATGTGCGTGCAAGCGTTGTCACCCACCTGACCAAGCACCAGGGTCGTTACAAGCCCTGGTGGGACGGCAAGGAGCCAACAGAGGCGGAGAATGCTTGCGAATCATGGGAGAGCTATCTCACCATGCTCTCAAAGATTGGTGCTTGGGGCAGTGCTCTTGAAGTTTCTGCTGCGGCTGTGCACTACGATCGCCCGATCATTGTCTTCCAGCCTCGTGGGGTTCCGGAGATTTACAATGGTCGTGGCAAGGGTGGTGCTCCCATCGCTTCGTGGTTTCGTTCAAAGCACTATGAACGACTTGAAGGTGCTTTCCCTCCTGAAGTTTTGACTCAGGCCGCAAATGGTCCAATGCAGGGCAACAGAGGTGGAGGATCGGAATGTGGCGCTACTTCAGTTGGTGCCACCAGATTGTCAGCTTTGCCGTCGCTGGTTCATAGCAACAATAAACGTGGAAGGTGTGCTAGCCCCGCGCCCGCCTCTACTTTGTCAGAGCAGCGCAAGAATTCTTCTTCCCCTGCGGCTGCTACTTCGGGTCGGGGTCCGTGCACGCCACGTGCAGCCAGTGAAGGACAAGACGCAGCCAGTGCTTCGTCCAGACGCACTAAGCGTACTGAGTGGACATGCCCTTTGTGTGACTTTTCCACTGGGGTGTGCAAAGGATGGGTTGACAAGAAGAGAGCTCATATCAATGCTTGGCATCCCGATGAGAAGGAACAGTTGAAAATCGGCTTCAAAAACACGTTGCCTGCGCTGTCTGCGGTCAAGAAGGGAGGAGTCTATAGCTAGAAGTGTCCTGTTTGCAAACTTGGCTTGTCCGCTGATCACAACCTCAAACCTGGCCAAGTGTACAGCGTCATCCGCAAGCATAGGGAAGACAAACATCCTCAGGCGGATGCCAAGCTCTTCCACAAGGACAGCAGCTTCAGACGGGAGAATGCTAGCAAAGCCACGCGCCAGGTGCGTGCAGCTGCAGTGGCTCGAAGGTTGCTTGGCTTCAAGCGTGGCGATGCTGGAGCAAATGACCCCACTTTCGTTACCATTCCAGCCACAGGAAATGGCAAACAGAAAAGAGTTGGAATGTCTTACGTCATTTGCAAAACTTGTGGCAGTATGGCTTTGCCAGCGAAGCGTTTGGCAAAGATTGCTTGTGAACAGTATGCTTCCAGCAAAGGGCCCAAACGAAAGCAGTTGGTGGAAAGATTGCGTGCGTGCCTCAAAAATGCAGACATCAGCGATGACCTCAAGAAGGGTGCCCGCACAGTTTTGGAAATCATCGACTCTGGAGCATTTCGCACCACTGATACTGCAGCAGACAGCACGCATCAGATTGAGGCCATTGTGTGGCCTGCCAATTTTACGGTGCGTTTTGCTTGTGTGCATTGCAAGCGTTGTGTCAACAACATCAGACGGCTTACAGGAAGTCAGTGTCCTCGTAAAATGGTTTGGACTAAGTTTCGAAAGGGCCAAAGGGATATTTTGGTGCCTCTTGCGGCTCAGGCTCCAAGTGCCAGACAGCGAGCTGCTTCGCGAGCTTTGGACATTTTGGGATTGCAGCAGGATGGCGCTGTGGATCAGAACCCATGACGGGCTCTGACAGCACTATGCGGTTGGGGACTATGAATGTACGGTCCTTGGGAGGCCGCTTGGGTGGTGTGCTTGACTTTGCTCAGCTCCAGAATTTACATGTTCTGTGTCTTCAAGAAACTAGAGTTAACAATCACAGCTGTAATGCTGTGACTCGTGCCGTCAAGGCACGCGGGTGGCAACTTTTTCCTGGCCCTCAAGGAAGAAATTCGAAAAATGTAGTGGAAGGTGGTACATTGGTTCTAACAAAGTGGCCTGCTGAGGCCTTGGCCCTTCCTGTCGACATGGTGTCTGTGGAAAGATCCATGGCCGTCAAACTCTATAGACCTCAGCAAAGGCCGTTGATTCTCATCAATGTTTACTTACATGCTTCTGATCGCACAGCTGCCAGCCGTGCGCTGGGTGCGCTGTTCGAGTTTGTTGCTGCTTGTGGTGAAGATACAGTGATCATGGGTGACTTCAATTTGGAAATTCATTGTTCGCCAATTTCTAACGTTTTGGCTACTGGACAGTGGCGGTCCTGTGATGAGCTGGTTTGCGGAGATCGTGTTTTAGGTGGTACACATCGAACTGCTGCAGGTGTTTATACAGGTGTGGTCATTGACTATGGCTTGTGCACTCCTCGGTTAATTATTACTGGTAGGGAGCAACATCTTTGCGTGGCTGACCATGACGCGGTGGTTTACAACTTGCATGTGCCTGGTTCATTATCCACACCGTGGACTCTCCCAGTTGGTGCCCCTTTGCATTCTGAAAAGGTTGCTGAAGCTTCTTGGCTAAGTGCTTGGGAAGAAGTATGTGACGATTTTGGAAATGCATTGAGTACAGGCAACGTGGACTCTGCTTGGACCTTACTTAGCAACTGCGCAGAATCTCTTCTTCTCGCACGTGGCAAAACTGGTCGTGCTATGCGCCAGGGCCCGCAGCAAATTGCCAGTCCTCCGTCTTCAAAAGCGCCTTCTTTGCAAACAGTGAAAGAGCGCAAGCTCAGACGCTTCGCACGAAGAGTGGTGGAGTACCAAAAGGCCCCGTTGCCAGAGTTGGAGAAGAAGTTGGTTCGTGATGGCCCTCATTTACATCATTCTTTGGCTTTTTTCTCTTTGGATGACCCCAGGTTGGTTAGTGCAGTGCTAGAATTGGCAAATGCAGAAGCTACAGCAGCGTCCAAGTTACGCTTGGAGGCGTGGAAGGACAGCGTGCAGGAAAATGCCACCAAACTAGGCAGGTGGGTCAAACAGGTGCCGCCCGCCAGTCCTACTGCAAGTTTTGATGGCCCCATTCTACCTGCAGATAGGGCCAAGTGCGCAGCATTGGATTGGGAGAGGTATTGGAATCTAGGGTCGCTTCCGAATTTGAATCTGGGGGACCAGTTGTACTCTCAGATTGGCTCTGCAAGCGATCCATTGCCGGATGACTGTATTCAGGTTAGTGGTTCTGAATTGGTTCGGATTGCGCTCAAAGCGAAGGACAAGGCTCCGGGCATGGATGCCTGGACAGCTCTCCATTTGCGCAATCTTCCCATTGCTTTTTGGGATCAGGTCGGTGCTCTTTGGGATGCTTGCTTGCGACATGGCTGTGTTCCTACGATGTGGAAAGATGTTAGAATTGCTTTGTTACCAAAAGCTACTGGTGGCATGCGCCCTTTAGCCATTGTCACTGTCCTGTGGCGTATTTGCATGAGTGCCACTCTGAAAAAATTACAGCCTTGGATTGCGGAATGGGCTTCGCCCGAACTTTTTGGTGGTCTACCAGGCAAGGGCATCATGGAAGTCCATGAACGTTTCTACGAAGCTGTCAGCGCGGCAAAGCAGTCTCGTGTCGATTTGGTCGGGTGCAAAGCTGATGTTCGCAAGTGTTTTGATTCAGTTTGCCCTCAGACAGCCATTAAAGTGTGGCGATGGTTCGGTGCTCCCTCATCAATTTGTGATTTACTCGCTGATTTTTACAGTGAACAGCGTCGTTGGTTTGCTTGGCAAGGTTCTTATCACCCTCATCCGGTTATTGCTCAACGGGGTTTGTTGCAAGGCTGTCCAGCCAGCCCTGCGCTACTGAACGCTTTGATGACAGTTTGAGTGAGGTTTGTCAAACGGCAGGAACCAAGGATTTCTTTGGCTATTTATTTGGACGATCGCACCATGTGGAAACAAGGTTGTCAAAGTTTTGAAGTGGTCATCAACGCCATGACTGCGGGAGCGCAAGCCGATGCTATTCTCGGCTTCGAACTTCACCCTGACAAATTGGCTAGCTTCGCCACCAAACCGCATCTGGTTGCCAAGGTGCGCAAGAAGAAAGATTTAGTAGGTGTACCTGCGGATACTTTCACACTGCTTGGCATTCAATACAATTTGTCACGCCCCAGTTCTTGTGTTGATGCGGATATTGTCAGTGACAACATTCAGCGACGATGTCTCAAAATTCGTTTGGCAGCACAGCACTTAGGCACTCGCATTGCATTGGTGCATAAGTTGGTGATATCTTTATCTGCTTGGTCCGGTGCTTTTCATCACTTCAGTGCAAGAACCATTCGAACATGGACATCTATGATCGAAACTGCACTTTGGGGTCGAAGGGCTCCTCCAGGTAGGAGCCGGCTGCTCTTTTGGAATTCTTTGGGTTCTGCAAGACTACATCCGATGTTTGCGCTCCAGTTCACCGCCGCCAGGGCGGAATGGAATCGGCAATGCCGCCGTGCCCAAGGGTTGCCTGCAGCTACCTCGCCTGCTCCTCGCTGGAAAGCAGTGCTCAAAGATTGGAAATGGCGACTTGACGATGGCCTGTGGCACACGCCTGCTGGGATTTTGAAACCTGGGTGGATGTCTTTGAAAAGCTTGCAAAAGGCCGCTATCCATTCATGGCTCGGTGGTTTGTGGACTAAAGACACCAAAACGGATGGTCGATGGCCAAACGGCAAGGAGCCGGTTTTCCTTTTTCAGGCAAATGCAGCTTTAGGCATGGATTACTACAGTCGCAGGGTTTTGACTGGTGCTGCAGTGGATGGCAGGGTCACAGAGCGCTTTGGTTTGCTTTGAGTTGTGAATGTGGATTGCGGTCTCCTGATCGAGAACATCTCACTTTTCACTGCCAAGCGCAGCCATGGGATGGTGAGTTCAGGAGCGCTACTGAACGTCGTTTGCTGGTTCCACTTGTGGATGCTCCTCCTGTGTTGCCTTTTTCCAACATGGTTGCAGATCCTGCTTTGGTTTCTTTTATTCAGCAATTCGATCCTCTTCAGCGACCCACCTTGGGTTTGGACGGCAGTTGTATCATAGCTACTTCCTGTGATCGATGGCAAAGAGCTAGCTGGGCGGTTTCGACACTTTCAGGCCCCACTGTTCAAGGTGCCGTGACTGGTTTTGAGCAAACACCTGCTGCAGGTGAGCGTGCTGCTCTTCTGCAAGCTTGTTTAGCCTCTTCTGCAGCTAACCGACCGGTGATGCTCTTGATTGACAATCAGGCTTTGGTGCGGCGGCTTCAGCGAGGCATTAGCACTGGCCGTTGGGAGGGTGACTTGCCGCTTTTCTGGCAGCGGATCAGCGGCTTATTGATTCAGGGCACTGTTTGCACTTGGATCCCTTCTCACAACAAGGTGCCTGACTGGACACCACCAGATGGTTGGATTGATGTTCATCTCTGCCGCGTTCTCAATGCGACAGCCGATGCTCAGGCAGGTGAGGTGTTGCGTGACTCACGCTCCATGATCGCTGCGGCTGGGCAGCGACATCAGCGAGCCGTGGCTTGGGCTGCAGCAGTTTGGCGTCTGCAGAGGCTACGGACTTTACCTTTTTGGCAAGTCGTACTTGATCAACAAACATTCCATGCGGAATGCTAGCTGGCGCACTGTGTTTACTTCTTTTTTATTTCAGGCAGGTTTCGCTTCCTTTGAGTTTTGCTTGGAGAAGTATGGGAACTTGATTCTCGCAGATGGCATACTATGGCGTCTTAACTACTTCACTTCGGTGAGGAGCAGGTTGACGTCCGCTTACAACAACAACAACGACACCATTTACGAGGATTTGGTGTTGCTTTGAGGAGTCGATCGCAGCCTGGCGCTCAGTTTGTCTCATTGAGCATATTGAGCTGTGAGTTAGTTTGATTGTGAAATTCTTGGAACTTCCCAAAAATCTCAGGTCTCAATCTTCACATGTTGTGGCTAAATTGCTAAATGTGACATGAGGTGGAGGAACGGGACACCAACTCTTTGCTACTTGATGTTGCTGCCACAGATCTTTGCCATATTGCCCATGTCATCACTGATGGCTTAGTCGGTGCTGAGACCCGGGTTCTCCCCATCTTGGGCTTGCTCTGCAAGTCACGCCGTGAGCAATCCTTTCCAATGGATTTGCTTCAGAAAGGCCTCAGCGTTGACATTGCTACAGCACAAGCATCCAAAGAAGAGGACAAGACACGGATTTTGAACTCCGTGCGATGTCCGCGAGCCAGGACATGGGCGTTGGACACGCCTTTTCCAACGCAGCACCCCCGCTATGATGCCGTCAACAAAGCTTTAGCCTCCCACTTTGCACTGACCAGCATCCAGCAGTCATATCGGAACGGACAACAAGCCCCATCAACCCCGTGGCAAGCACTACGGTCAGATGCAGAAAGAAGGAACATCCAAGTGTCACTGACAGGTTGCCACAATTTCCGAGACCCGGACTTGCGGATTCTCATCGACAACCTGCCATCCAAACTGCAAAGTTTACGGCTCGATCTTGCCTACACTGGTTTGGAGCGTTTGGATGATCTAGCGGGTGCTTCCTTCGGAAACACCCTTCAGACCCTAGTGATTCGCTTCGCAGGATCTTTAAGAAGCATTTCTGGCTTGTCTGCTTTGCTTTGCCCTTCCTTGAGACGTTTGGAGCTGTGGCTGTCAGACCTTCCAGACTTAGAGGACATCGAGTTGGGCGTCAGCAACAAGGCATTGTTGAAGCTTCGTTTGGAGGAGCTTGCAGGGTAGGTTGAGACTTGTTTTCTCACCATGTGACCACATCCTTCTAATTGTTTCTATGGAATTTCGAGAGCTGTTTGCTTTTGGAGATTGAAATTTGAAGGAGCTGGTCTTGTATGTGAACGGCTGTCCCAGCGTACCGCGCGAATCCAAGACAGCATTGAAGCTTGGTGTGGTTTAGCTTTAACTAAAGACGTTTATGCTAACGGGTGCAAAACCGTACGTGTAGTGACACACATTTTCAACATTCCCAATTTCACATCATGTTTTTGAGCTTACACACCATGTTGCACTCTTATGTTCACGTAACTGGCAACGCGGGATGGGCTGGGGTGGGGTGGGGTGGGGATGTTAACGTTCGGTTGAAGTTGAACACGCCACTGATGCTACGCTGAGCATGGGGTGGGGTGGGGATGTGAACGTTCGTTTGAAGTTGAACACGCCATTGATGCTACGCTGAGCATGGGGTGGGGTGGGGATGTTAACGTTCGTTTGAAGTTGAAGACGCCATTGATGCTACGCTGAGCATGGGGTGGGGTGTGGATGTGAACGTTCGTTTGAAGTTGAACACGTTACTGATGCTACGCTGAGCATGGGGTGGGGTGGGGATGTTAACGTTCGGTTGAAGTTGAACACGCCACTGATGCTACGCTGAGCATGGGGTGGGGTGGGGATGTGAACGTTCGTTTGAAGTTGAGCACGTTACTGATGCTACGCTGAGCATGGGGTGGGGTGGGGATGTGAACGTTCGTTTGAAGTTGAACACACCACTGATGCTACGCTGAGCATGGGGTGGGGTGGGGATGTTAACGTTCGTTTGAAGTTGAACACGCCATTGATGCTACGCTGAGCATGGGGTGGGGTGGAGATGTGAACGTTCGTTTGAAGTTGAACACGCCATTGATGCGACGCTGAGCATGGGGTGGGGTGGGGTCGGAATTAACGTTCGTTTGAAGTTGAACACGCCATTGATGCTACGCTGAGCATGGGGTGGGGTGGGGATGTGAACGTTCGTTTGAAGTTGAACACGCCATTGATGCGATGCTGCGCATGGGGTGGGGTGGTGTTGGATGAACACTGGCAGCGGAGCAAAAAGGGATCGAACACTGGTCGTTGACGAAACCAGAACAGCAATGAAATTCGTGCTAGATGATGGATCAAGCAGCGGCCATTGCTATTTTCCACGCTCACAGAATGGGTGCCGCGAGCACTGTGCAAGCTGTCGCGCAGTGACTTGAGATCGAAATGGGAATATGATACCGACATGGTTCTACAGTCAAAGCAACTGCCATCAATTCAACACCGCTAAAAATCTTTCTGTTGCTTTGACATCGAGTCTTCAGTTTTCTTCTTCTGAAAGAATCGTGGGTTTCCACGCAACGCTCGTTTCCGTTTGGCACTCATGAAGGTAGGATCAAAATACAAGGAAACTTCTCTACGCTGGAAAACCTTCAGAAATTCTTCAAAGTGAAAAGCTTTGGAAAAGGCATCAGCTAACTGTTGACCAGAATCAACCCATTTACAATCAATGCCAGCCGCATGGAGCCGTTCCCGGTATGAGAGGATCTCCACAGCCAATCGACGTTCTTCCAGTTGGAGCCCAGAGCTCTCGATTCTCATCACCGAGTCATACATGTTCTTGCTGTCTGTGACTATGACTGACGGTATCTGTTTCAGAGCTTTGTCCATGTGCTTCACAGAAATGACCTTTTCATTAAACATGTCAAGCATGAATTGTTTCAAAAATTCATGAGAATCAATAGCAGTTGAAGCCATTTGGATTTCGGCAGCAGTGGATGACCGGCACACACGTGGTAGCCTCTTTGACTGCCAAGCAACTGGAGAAAACGGTGACGCCTTACCTTGAAGAATATCCTCACTTGTCAAGACTGTGATCATTCCACCTTGATGACAAATCTCGACGATTACTCCATGACGCATCGTGAAAAGTGACAAGCATGGGTTTCTGAATCTTTGAAGAAAAATGCAAAGTGGTATCGCCAAATTGTCTTTGTGACCGAACCAGTTTGTTAAGTTCCAGAGCATCTTCAACCGTGGCGGTCTGAAAACAGCCTTGAAGATACGATGTACTGGCGCAAAGCCAAGGTGCCGTTTGAGTGGATCTCCAAGCTAATGCACCTAAGATTACTCGGAACTGTTTCTTTTCTGCCTCAGTAAGGGAATCTTCTTTCTGCATCTTTCTTTCTTTGGTAAGATTGATTTCAGCAATATGATCCGCATATCGTTCTTGACTAATGTCGATGCTAAAATCCTTGTTTTGTTCGACTTCACATCCGCAAAAGGTGATGCTTTCATCCATAGCCCATTTCCATGACCCAAAAGGAAAAGACTCCCGGAGTTGTTGAACCTTTTGTCCAAAATACGAATCAGGATTACGAGGACCACAAACCAACAAATCATCAACATGGCCACCGATCAAACCTTGAAGTTCACCATTTTCATACAACTTCCAAACGCAAGGCTCAAGTCTTGATTTCACCCAACCTTGACCAACCAAAACCGAATTGAGCTTATCAAACCAACATCTAGGAGCATGCAACAATCCATAAACAGCTTTCAACTCTAAAAACTTCGTGTGGTTCCATGCCTAACATGAGTTTCACCTCGTCCGGTGGATCTGCAAAGATCGCTCTTTGGGCCTCAGTCTGATCACCATTTAAAAAGGCTGTTTTGATGTCTCCTGTGGCAATGTCCCAGTGCATTTGTGCTGCGAGACTCAAGACACCGTTACGGGATTGTGTCGACAATGTCGGACTGTCACGTCTGAGGGCCAAAAGATCTGGATCTTGAAACCCTTTTATAATCAAGCGAGCTTTAGGTTTCTGATGAAGCAAGTTACCATCTTGATCTTCAACACGTTTCCAAGAAAGAACCCATTGCATGCCTAACAGACGTGACTCAGGAACACCAACCCGAGAAGCAATGGACACAGCTTCATGCTCAAGATATGACCCGACTTCATCCTTCATGGCTCTCAAAAAGTCCAATTTGTCATCGTCCGTCAGAGTTCTGAATTGAACTTCGGCCCTACGTTTCGGTTTCTCATTGAGTTTCCATTCTTTCTTACCATTTCTAAAGCCTTGATGAACATCACGAGGGGCAACATTCAACACAATTTCAACACAGGACCTATTCTGACTTACTGATTCCAAAAAGAAACACTGATTGTCCTTGTGGCGGGAAGTGTGAGAGCATGTGGTCTGTGATCTGTCGACACTGCTAGACTCAGGCCATTGTGACACCTTAGCAAAGCAGCCTAGTCGGAGATCCTCAGCATTCAAAATGGTATCCTCATGTGATTGGAGCATGGAATGATCAACATGGGCACTACCAATGCATTCATCATCATCAACATGTTCATCACCATGTTCATCTTCATTATCATGCTTTTGAGAAGACATGTAGATCTCATATTGACCTTGGCTGAAATGGATCCTGGCTGACGGTGATCGACTGCGGAGATTACTCCTAGATCCACTCACTACTGATGAGCCAGCTCCTCCATGCGGCTCAGTCGACGATCTTGCTCTTCCTGATTCATCTGGATGGCGTGGATCGCTCCGATGCTCTGGTGCAGAGCTGACTGGTGCTCGACGTTCGACTGCTGCACCTGGTCCAGTTGACCCTTGAGGCTGGTGATGGCTTCCATCATGGTGGCCATCATCGACGTCACTTCGCCCTTGGGGGGCTCGGTGCTCTTCGGAGTTGGCATCGGCAAGTCGTCCCACTCGCTGTCGCTCTCGAAGGTCGGCTGCATTTTTCCAGAAGTCTTCTTTGGTGGACTCAGAAGGAGATCTCCCGAGGACTGACCGGTCTTTGACGAGGGTGCCTCGTCCTTCTCGGCTGTCACCTTCTCGGCATACACCTGGATGTTCGTGAACTTTGGATTCTTGGGGTGATGCTGGATGAGCCAAATCAGGTAGTCCGGATGCTTCTGGTAGACGTTGTGGCACGTCTCCTGGGCATGGCGGCCAGCTTTCATCGGCTCGGCGCCGAGATCCTTGATGGACATCTTTTGGCATCGCTGATACTCCATCTGATAGGCCTGCTCCTTCGAGTCGACCTCTTGCTGATTCACCTTGGTGGACAGCTTCTGGATGAGCTTCTGACGGCTGGCTTCGGTCGACATGGCGATATCGTTCCTTTTGTTTGAAGCGAGCACGGATCAACGCAGGATGGTCGGCAGGACTTGGGCCAAAATTGCCCGGTGATGGTGGTTCTTCATCATGAATTTCAAAGTCCGGACTTTCATCAACAAACTCTTTGGAAATATCTTTGAACTTTGACGAATTTCCGGCAGCACTGAGATCTTGAAACACGGACTGTGGATGCATTTCATCATTGTGAGTTCTTGAAGATGCTTTGTGACTTTGCGCAACTGTTCAGGTGCACATCGATACAAGGTTGTGCCATGACTCACCCAGACGATAGACCCTTGAGTTTTTGTTTCATCATCGTCCTTCATCTTTTCGACTCCTACAACTCTTGCTGGTCCATACCAGCCCGGTTGCCGGTTACTTGCCGACCCCTTCCCTTTACGGTAGAAATAGACAAGCTGTCCCAAATCAAAATTCTCAGCACGACGCGCTTTGCCTTTTTCGGCTCGAAGCAGTCTGCGGCGTGCGTCTGCTTGCAAGAATGCCTGTTTGGCCTTCTGAATGTTTTCAAGATTTTGTTCAAAAGTCAAGTCGGTTTCGCGCCGACTTTGGGTAGGCAGATGATCACCAAACTCGAGCCATGATTCCACACTGTTTCGTTCCGAACCAAAAGACCACTGATTAGGACTATATCCCTTGATTTGATGAAGTCGATTCTTAGCTGCAATGGACAGAGACAAGAGTTCATCGACACTCATCTCCGGTCCTTTCTCTGTGGCCAAGAGGCTCATAGTTTCCTTAAGTGTGGCAAGATGGCGACTGTGCTTCCCTACCTGCCAGGCGGCTTCTCCAGCTGCATAGGAAATCTGAATGCCTTGGCTTTCGAGCCAAGACACCGTTTGATCATCGCGAAAAGCACCTTCATCATCCATGCGAAGAAAACGAGGCTGTGGAAACTGTTTCAACCAAGTTTGAGACAGTGCTTTTCGGAATTCTGCACCACTGAGATTGGGAATATTCTTGAGTCCAGTTCTAACAATCACACCAGTATGATAATCGGTAAGTTCATCCATAATCGACAAACCAACAGCTTGAACAACCGGATTACCTTTTTCATCACGATGAGGACTATACCACCAAAAGGTATCAACCGACACAACTTCCCATTTCTCCTTTGGAAGTGGTACCTGTGAAGTTCGATGCATAGCGGCATGACCGCGTTGTCGACAAAAATCGCACTCGAACTTGGCAGCTGCATCAAGAACGACCTGAGTTGCCTGAGCCTCCTTCAGAAGACGACACATGACATGTTTTGAGGGGTGTCCCAGATTCGCATGAATGGTCTTCAATTTCTTAAGGATCTGATGGGCTTCCCATTTTCCGGGGTCACGTGGAATGTCCTCATGATCGTAGTCCTCAGTCGGAGGGGCTTCAGGCAACAAGTCTTCATCGAGGAGACTAGGCGACATTTCAAGGTCGAGTTCCTCTTCAGGAAGATATCGTTCTGTTTCACACTGAGAAGCTCCTACGCCTTCCTCCTCAAAGTCCTCATCATCATCCTCATGCCTACCATGATTAGCAAAAACATGATTAATGCGACTCAAGTCTTCAACAAGTGATTTACACTGAGATTTGGAAGACATTAACACACGAGCAAAAGCTAAACACAACAGTTTGGGGTACACCGCGGTTCCAGAAGTGATATTGCCTTCGATAGGTTCATGAGCGCCAATACCATGAGTACATTGACGATTCAGTTCATTCCTAATGTCACTTCTACTCGAAAACCAACCCCATGATTTCAACAAAGAATGACCAGTTTTGGGATTTTTCATTCCAAAAGCACAGCCATCGCACCTGAATCGTGGTCCACATAAAGTCAACATGTGTTTCATGGATGTTTCCTTCCAGGAACTGGCTCGAAGAGGTTGCTCGCCCCCGGCATCACCTTGGAGTTCCTGCCTTTGAAGTTCGCATATCTTCCGACAGTTTTTCAGAATGCGACGTCCATGTTTTTGTTTCTCAATCAGGTTGTGTATCTGGGTCTCAGTCTTTTGGTTGGCATTGTTCATGATGGTCCATGGGTCACAAGGAGGAGACATGTGAATGTATCGGGGTTTCGTACGCTTGATGAATTCCAACGCCTTGTTACACCCAGACTTGGTAGAAAGATCATACCCATTATGAACACCCAACCGGACCGCCCGACCACCAGCATCGATGACTGCCTGAGCTAATGGAGAATCCCAAGGAGCACACAATTCAACCAGATCCAATCGTTTGGTGATACTACGAAATTCATCAACAACAAAGGCCTCATGGTCACGAGCACTACGTTGAAACCACAGTTGATGACCCCTAGATAACGCGTTATCATCATCACAACTGAGATCACATTCTGAAGACTCGGATGGATCAGCCGGAACTGTACACGGCACGGAAGCATGAAAAACTGCTGAACTACATTCTGGATTCAAAATCTGCGCGTCAGCAGAACCACTCAAATCTCGCTCCAGAGACGAAACTTGGTGGAGCTGTCCCTAATGCACAGGCTCGGGGCACGTCACATACGCTTCACAGTGCGACAGCTTGTCGCTCAACTCTGAACCTACATTTGGCTGCGAAAACTCAGTCAGGGACAGCAGAAGGTGATTCGTGCTAGCACGTTCCAGCTGAATCTGCTTGCCGGTGAACGCAAACTGAGCTAGGCCAGTCTTGAAGTCAATGATGGCCTCATGTTCCTCTAACCATTTCGAACTCAGAAGAAGCGGAGTTTGACCTTCTACGATGTGGATGGGTAGCGTCACTTGAGCGCCTGCAATGCCCACCGTCAAGGATGCAAGACCTAAGGCTAATGACGTCTCATTGTTTCCAAAGATGAAGGAACGACGGTACTGTCGATTGACTTGGACATGATGTTCTGGATCTAGCCCCAATTGCTGAAGCTTGTCATACAGAACTTGGAGTGTGTGAGCACCCACGATGCTTTCACTAGCACCACTGTCCAAGATAGCCTTGGTCTGAGTTTCATCCGCCAAGACGGCCAGCGAGGGCACCAAGGTGTGCTCATGGTTGTCTTCTTGGAAGCGCACCTCTTTTCGCATGCCAGAAGCATAGACAAATCCTACCCTACCAGAGTCACCAGATTTGTTGGATCCATTGGCTGAAGTTCCATTGACAGTCTGCTTGCATTGCATGGCCTTGTGTCCGACCTTTCCGCAACGCATGCATCGACCTTGAAACCCTGAAGACGCCGAAGACGACTTCCCCGACTCCTTCCCTTTTCCTTTACCCTTGGTTGCAGGATAGAAGCCACGTGATACTCGATGTTTGTCCAGAGCCTTTCGCGCCTCCTTGTAGAAGGTCTTCTTGGCTTCTTGGAAGTTGGCTAACACGACTTCATCATCAGGCTGCTCAGCAAAGGCAATGGTGGCTGCATCCTTCAGGATCATCATCTGTTGCCATCCAAATGGCATCAGCTGTCATGTCATGGTGATCCACTTCACTGTGTTCCTCCAGAGTAGTGAGATACATCCTACCATGTTTCTTGCGATCATGATCACGATGCGTCAAACTGACGCCTCCCCACATCTTGCGCATGACCTGCAGTACGCCAGTCAATTTGTATGACTGTGTTTGGGCTTTGATCATGGCCATGTCAGTGGCGTCTAGACGCAGGTGCTTGTTGATCATGAACCAGCCATAGATTTCTTCTGGCACAGAATCTTTGCATCCAATGTCAACCATGGCTTTCCGTATGTCACGAATGAACACGGAATGTCGCTGCTCATAGTCATTCAGACTCTCCCCCTCGCGCCTGACGGCATCGCCAGATTGGAAATACTGCTGCAAGGAATCACCCAGGAGGTCCACCTCCTGTTTGCCACGCCTCCCACGGAGGTAGTCGAGGAGATACTCAGCGCCATCTGGTTGACGCAGCTTCTCCCTGTCGATGTCGAGACAGGCCTCCCAAGCCCGGCCAGTCAAGTTCCTGACGAGGCGAGGAGCCAAAAGGGCTCTTTCATCTTCCTTGCAGCCATCTACTTCCAGTTGCACGGAGAATCTATAGTCTGGAAAACTCTTCCAAGACCCATCCCATGTGGGCAACTTTGGATTGAGGTAGTCACCAGTTGGCCCACCATTTGTTGAGTTCATTGTGAATCCCCACTGATGTCACAAGGGCTCTTCAAAGGTACCGGACCGAACTGGCTCCGCTACCAGTGTTGGATGAACACTGGCAGCGGAGCAAAAAGGGATCGAACACTGGTCGTTGACGAAACCAGAACAGCAATGAAATTCGTGCTAGATGATGGATCAAGCAGCGGCCATTGCTATTTTCCACGCTCACAGAATGGGTGCCGCGAGCACTGTGCAAGCTGTCGCACAGTGACTTGAGATCGAAATGGGAATATGATACCGACATGGTTCTACAGTCAAAGCAACTGCCATCAATTCAACAGGTGGGGTGGGGTGGGGATGTTAACGTTCGTTTGAAGTTGAACACGCCATTGATGCGACGCTGAGCATGGGGTGGGGTGGGGATGTTAACGTTCGTTTGAAGTTGAACACGCCATTGATGCTACGCTGAGCATGGGTGGGGTGGGGATGTGAACGTTTGTTTGAAGTTGAACACGCCACTGATGCTACGCTGAGCATGGGGAGATCCTGATCAATACATTCGATCCTGGCAATGGAGATGGGAAAACGCGTTGTGTCCTGACCTGTTGGAAAAAACAATGATCACTGAAACTGGCAAGGCAAAAGAAGGTCCGGATTTCGTGTGGAAGGGTTGCCAACGCAAGAAAAATGACATTTTTTTTTTAAAGAAAAACTTTGAGACGGCTACGAAACACTGAAAGGGGTGTCATTTTTTGACAATGGTGATGCGCCTACACGCGCGATTCTGCACCCGGCGGGACGTTTATGATATTCGAAACATGAGAAGTTGTCATTATTCCATACGGTTCCTATGAACGTGACAGAAAACATGTCATTCAAAATGCGATTGGCTTCAATGAATTGAAATGACAAACCGAACTTGCTCAAGGCTTGCTGCCACTCGGCAGCTGAAGCAGTGCCTGCGACGCCGGCCTTACATGTGGGTTCACATCGAGGACCAGTTCGATTCAATCTGGTTCAAAACACCAGAGGGTTGAAGCACGGTGTGCCCAAAAATGGCAGATTCAATTTCAATGCCAGCTTACGCAAAGTTGCAACTTGCAATACGACTTGTGCCGCACCTTGTGCCGATTCCCAGGATACAAACACCTGGACGCTGAATCTCTGCCTCGGGAAGCTCAAGGCATGGAACGCAGTCACGCCACGTTGCACCGGCTCGTAATGCAAGATGCAACGTAATGTGTAACGTAATGTGCAAGGTAATGTGCCATGTAATTGCCACGTTGATGGTAATTTGATTGTTTAAATTACGAAAGCCAGCTGGGAAGCTGGCTAGTTGTTATTCGCGAACGAAGTGAGAATAGGGGGTGTGGGGGGAGGTATATAGTTGCCTCAAGTTGCCGAAAACGTCGTAAATAGGTGGTGTTTTAGGCGTGCGAAAGGTATGGTTTTGCAGAGTAATGTGCCATGGTGGGTATCGATTCCCCCTAGGTCCGGTTGTTTTCCAGGTCGGTCAAGCTGATGTGCTAGAAGGATGGGCCATGGATGTCGGGCAATTGTTGCCTACCTTCACGACGGCTCGCCCACAGGACCACCTTGGCAATAAACTTGCTGGACTGTGGCAGTGCAATGCCTTGGAAGTGCCATGGGTCAAAAGTATACAGGTGAAACGGGTATCAGTATGGGTGAAAAGTCTGAGGGCGAAAAGTGTATGGGTGAAAGTCTGCGGGTGAAAAGTCTGTGGGTGAAAAGCCCGTGGGTCAAAAGTATACAGGTGAAACGGGTATCAGTATGGGTGAAAAGTCTGAGGACGAAAAGTGTATGGGTGAAAGTCTGCGGGTGAAAAGTCTGTGGGTGAAAAGCCCGTGGGTCAAAAGTATACAGGTGAAACGGGTATCAGTATGGGTGAAAAGTGAGGGCGAAAAGTGTATGGGTGAAAGTCTGCGGGTGAAAAGTCTATGGGTGAAAAGCCCGTGGGTCAAAAGTATACAGGTGAAACGGGTATCAGTATGGGTGAAAAGTCTGAGGGCGAAAAGTGTATGGGTGAAAAGTCTGTGGGTGAAAAGCCCGTGGGTCAAAAGTATACAGGTGAAACGGGTATCAGTATGGGTGAAAAGTCTGAGGGCGAAAAGTGTATGGGTGAAAGTCTGCGGGTGAAAAGTCTGTGGGTGAAAAGCCCGTGGGTCAAAAGTATACAGGTGAAACGGGTATCAGTATGGGTGAAAAGTCTGAGGACGAAAAGTGTATGGGTGAAAGTCTGCGGGTGAAAAGTCTGTGGGTGAAAAGCCCGTGGGTCAAAAGTATACAGGTGAAACGGGTATCAGTATGGGTGAAAAGTGAGGGCGAAAAGTGTATGGGTGAAAGTCTGCGGGTGAAAAGTCTATGGGTGAAAAGCCCGTGGGTCAAAAGTATACAGGTGAAACGGGTATCAGTATGGGTGAAAAGTCTGAGGGCGAAAAGTGTATGGGTGAAAGTCTGCGGGTGAAAAGCCCGTGGGTCAAAAGTATACAGGTGAAACGGGTATCAGTATGGGTGAAAAGTCTGAGGGTGCAAAGTCTGTGGGTGAAAAGGGTGTGGGTTAAAAAAATGTGGGCGAAAAATGTATTGGTGAAAGTCCCTGGGTGAAAAGTATATGGCTGGATGAAGAGTCTGAGGGGAAAAAGAACGTATATTGGTCAAGAGTCTCTGGGTGAAGAGTCTCTGGGTGAAGAAAGTGCAACAACATATAAACCCTAAAGGTGTCGTGGTTCTTCTTACATTAAGTGCAATAACATATACGCCCTAAAGGTGTCGTGGCTCTTTCTACCTTAAGTGTAACACATTTAAAACTTAAAGGTGTCGTGGCTCTTATTAAGTGCGACAACATATAATCCCTAAAGGTGTAGTGGCTCTTCTTACATTAAGTGCAACAACATATAAAACCGAAAGGTGTCGTGTCTCTCCTGACATTAAGTGTCAAGGTATTGACCCTACAGGTGTCGGGCTCTTCTTACATTAAGTGCAACAACATTTTCACCCTAAAGGTGTTGTGGCTCTTTCGACATTAAGTGTAACAACATTTAAAACCTAAAGGTGTCGTGGCTCTTCTTTCATTAAGTGCAACAAAATATAAAACCCTAAATGTGTTGCGGCTCTTCTTACATTAAGTGCAACAACATATAAACCCTAAAGGTGTCGTGGCTCTTCTTACATTACGCCCTAAAGGTGTCGTGGCTCTTCTTACGTTAAGTGCAACAACATATAAACCCCAAAGGTGTTGCAGCTCTTCTTACATTAAGTGCAACAACATATAAACCCTAAAGGTGCCGTGGCTCTTCTTACATTAAGTGCAATAACATATACGCCCTAAAGGTGTCGTGGCTCTTTCTTCCTTAAGTGTAACAACATTTAAAACTTAAAGGTGTCGTGGCTCTTCTGACATTAAGTGCGACAACATATAAACCCTAAAGGTGTTGCGGCTCTTCTTACATTAAGTGCAACAACATATAAAACCTAAAGGTGTCGTGTCTCTCCTGACATTAAGTGTAACAAGGTATTAACCCTAAAGGTGTCGGGCTCTTCTTACATTAAGCGCAATAACATATACGCCCTAAAGGTGTCGTGGCTCTTTCGACATTAAGTGTAACAACATTTAAAACCTAAAGGTGTCGTGGCTCTTCTTTCATTAAGTGCAACAACATATAAACCCTAAATGTGTTGCGGCTCTTCTTACATTAAGTGCAACAACATATAAACCCTAAAGGTGTCGTGGCTCTTCTTACATTAAGTGCAACAACATTTAAAACCTAAAGGCCCTAAAGGTGTCGTGGTTCTTCTTACATTAAGTGCAACAACATATAAACCCTAAAGGTGTCGTGGCTCTGCTTTTTATGCCCAAAGTGATCCCATTTATCCCTAAAAGTATGCCCAAAGTGAGCCCAATTTATGTCCAAAGTGAACCTCAAAAATTTATGCCCAAAGTGAATTCGAATTGATGCCCAAAGTGAGCCCATTTGTGCCCAAAGTGAACCCATTTATGCCGAAGTCAACCCATTTATGTCCAAAATGAACCCAATTTATGTCCAAAGTGAACCTCAAAAATTTATGCCCAAAGTGAATTCGAATTGATGCCCAAAGTGAGCCCCTTGCCGCGAAAAGTCTGTGGCTAAAACGTCTGTGGGTGAAAAGTGCGCGGGTGATAAGTCTGTGGATGGAAAAACTATGGGTGAAAGTTCGTGGGTGAAAAGCATATGGTTGAACAGCCTTGGGTGAAAAGTATATGGGTGAGAAATATAATGGGTGAAAGACGGTGGGTGAAGAGTCTGTGGGTGAAAAGTGGGGAAAAGTCTGAGTTATAAATATATTGAGGTGAAGAGTCAAGAGTCTCCGGGTGAAAAGTCTACGGGGGAAAAGTATCTGGTTGAACAGTCTGCGGGTGAAAAGTATACGGGTGAGAAGTATATGGGTGAAAGACTCTGGGTGAAAAGTCTGTGGGTGAAAAGTATATGGGTGAAAAGTCTTTTGGGGAAAATAGGGGTAGATGGGATGCTGGGTTTCGTTTTCCCCTTCTCATGTTCGTGCCACGTAATGTAATGGAACCATATGGTTTCATAATTGCTTCGTTCGTTCCAGCGGCATATTTCGAAGGCTCCGTGGATTATTTGGACTCATTTGGTGGCTGTTTATCGATGAGATGTTCATTTTGATTTGCACAGGTGGGTCGTTCACAAAGCCACCTTGAGATAGGCGGGCGCCGTTTACAAGTCACACTTGCCACCTTCGAGCCAAACAGAAATTCGACAGGTATCGTACAGGTAGAGGTTGCAGCTTTCACGGGTACACTTGGCTGTGTTGAGTTACTCCAGTCTAGTGGTGCATGGCTGTCTTATCATCAACTGCCAGAGGTTCATTGCAGTGACCACATGTAGAAATATGTAGACATGAACTGCAGACAGTTCGCAGAGGTTCACCCAGTTCACCCACGCCAAGCGCAGCTTCGCTGGCCGAGATTCCAGAGTCACAAATCGAACCTCGACCCAGGGAACCCCTGGAATGCATAGCTCCAAGTTTGCATGGCTCCCTGACACCCTGAGTTCAAGAGAGTATTTGCAGGAAAAATGTCTTTGGATGTCTTTGGCCAAACATGGTTGTACCAGTTGTACCATGTTTTCATAAATTTTCCCACGTGAACTAAAGGCAGGCTATCGAAGGTTCTTCCCGAATGCGTAGCAAGGGTTCCCATTTCAGGGGGTTTGGGGGTTGAGGGTGTGTTCGCCAGACGTTGTGCAACCGTTCGCAACCGGGCTGCACCTGTTTTTTTTCCCGGCCTCCCCGGCCTCTCAGGATCCGTTCCCTTGCCATTGCTGCACGAAGTTCCACGGAAATTCTCATGGATACTGCGATGCTCATCGACTTGCCCGATTTTACCACAATGCGTTCTCCAGATGTCATCTCGTGCCATGGATACAGAGATTTGCTGTCATGGCTTGCATATGTCGTGATGCAACATTCAAGTTCTGAAAGAGCTGAGAATAGAAACTATGTAGCCACTGGACCACATGTCTGCAACATGCTCTGCAACGTTGTTGAGGTTGTGACCCATAGGCCCACAGGCTCAAATCAACCCCAGACAAGCAGCTCCGACTCTGCTGGCATTGCGCTGCCCTGAGGTTTTTCAATATGCAGAGCTGCTGATGATTTTCTTTGTACAAGCCACGGCTGATATCGAATCGAGGGGCTTGCTGGCCTTGATTGTCATCTCTTTGCAGCTCGCACTTGAATCACCATGCTGTGCCAATGGCCGGTCACATTTCATTACCACATGTACGTTGTAACATGTTTTCACATGGTGCTGCACATGACCATAGCTGATAGCTGTAGGTATCCTGTGCTCTGGATGAGCCTTGATCGATTGGTGGGGTCGGCCACCTCAATTTGTGTCGTGTTGATCTCGCTGCTCTTCGCATCTGTATCTTATGCTCTGCTGCGATTCGATCGGATGCACCGAGCGACTCTGGAACTGTCGTTGGCTTCTGAAGCCATTTGCTCACAGGCACCCCATCAAACCTATGGCAAACATGTGAAATACATGTGAAATGGATGGAAATGGGGGGGTACCGGAAAACCTTGGAAAACCATCCAGAAATCGGCTGTTTCCACTTACCCATGGACCCATTGCCAGATTACCAGAGGGTACTGCAGTGCATCGGACAAACCTTTCTAGCAACGAATAGAGTAAGTCTTTGTCCGAAAATTTAGTTTATAGTTTCAAATTATCCAAATAATCCACTCAATCAATCCATAGTTTTATAGTTTTTCTGTGTCCGAAATTTGGATTCTGAGCCTGGAGGCGATTCGTCCTGCGAACTTGTCGCACCTCTCTCTGGTCTTTGGAAGTTCCGCTGACGACTTCCCGAACACAGATTTGCGACAAAGCGAAACGGATTTGACGCTGTGAGCAAATATTTCAAAATGGTTTCAACCAACACATTTCACGCATTTCAATTTTTCTCATTTTGTACTTGATTGTTTTCGCAAAGAAAGTGCATGTTGAGCTGATAGCGGTCATGTAGGTCGCAAGCGACCCCAATCGTGAGCCAAGGACAAGCAACTTCCGTCAGGCACGGATTCACTTTCTCAGCTTTCAGACGCTAGGACAAGAAGTTTGGGTGACCATTCAGACTTGGTTCTTTCCAGTCTTTGCAGCCTCAAAAGTACAAAATCGGAAGCATGTACGACGGTGACTATCGGCCACTATCTCTTCTCTTTGACCCACTGCAGTCGCAAATTGCAGTGATAAGCATAATCAGTGCATAATCAGTGCATAATCAGTGCATAATCAGTGCCCCATCTGTAGGCAGTGGACATAATCATCAGATCCAGTCCCCTTGAGCATCGTTGAGCATGCAGATCCTTCGCTTTTCATAGGTGTTGTAGCTCGGGATTGCCTCAGGAATGCTCTGCGCCGAGCCCTGGACGAAGGTGAAGTGACGAATGCAACAGCACATGCAAAGATCAAGCGCCTCGCGGACCTAACGAGTCAAGGACGCCACGGCCACGAGTCAAAAGCCTTGAAGTCAAGTTGTGTTTTGTTCAGATTTGTTCAGATCTGTTCAGAGTTGCTCTGTGATTTGGACATGCTCCATTCACATTTCCAGGAGACCATGATGTTCTTTCTTGCGAAATCCATTGTGAATCCCTCCAGCAAGTTCAACTGGTGTGGCTTGCGCTGAGCAAAAGATTTCAAAGCGAAGAAGAACCGTGGAAGATCGTGGCATTGTGGGATGGATTTGCCCAAGAAGAAGAGCGCAGATGCAGCAAGATCGTGATGTCCATGAACGGCCAGCTGGCATATCTTGGCATGTCATTCACGGCATTTGATGCATTTGCAGGCCATTCAAATCATTCAAAACAGGACCGTTTCGCTTCATTCTCAAGTGGATAAATATGTTGAAACCGATGATACATATGTTGATATATGTTGATTCAATTTGATTCATTTCCAACCTAACTTGCTCTAGCTAACACATGTAGTAATCGTTGCTGAAGCGTTGCGAAGCGTTGCGAAGCTCAGGCTATTTGGCCACTGTCGTTCTTTGTGTTGCCTCCTTAGCAAGGCTGCAGAGCAACCTCAGCGAACTTTGCCTTTTGGCGGATGCTTTTGGCCTCTTGGAGGATGCAAAGCCTCGAAGGTGGCTGCAACGTGATGGTCCAAATGCAAAGGGTTCAAGTTCTGGAGAGATAGCGAGTTTGCCTCGCAGTTCACAGATTTTGGGTGCTCTTCTTCCGGTGCTTCTGTTACTGGCTCGTTTCATTGCTATGATCACGGCAGCTTATTTCACATGTCAATACCTCTTTCGGTATGGCCCTTCCAGCTTGCACGAAAGCATAGATCAACTGGGACAGCATCGCTTTGTCAAAGTCGCGTTTGGAGAACGCTTTGACGGCTCATGGTGGGATGCCTTGTGCTTATCAGGGCCTTATGCAGTTCTTGTAATTGTTTTTGCACGCGATTTGCTTTGCTTTTCTGCTCCGACAGCTCAAAAACGGAGCAGACAGCTGTCACAAATTGTCTATGACCGCTATTTTGGAGTTGAAGGCACCTACTACACGTTCAAAGTGGCTTTTCTACAGCTCCTGACCATTTTGCTTCAGGCGTTTGGGAAGCTTCATTTGCTCGGTGGCATTGCACTCTTTGCAGAACAACAAAGGCTCTCAGTTGCAGAATCTTTGAAGGCAGGGAGTTGGATGAAATATGCAACAAACGCATGGTTCAACGATGTTTTCACGGTTAATCAGGTGGATGACTTAGCCCTGAAGGTAACATTCTGGTTGTTTTGGGCGCTACTATTTTGCAACTGCGTCTACCCCAACATGCTCTTCATTTTCCCGGAGAGTATGCGGTGTCGCTACACCTGTGCGATGCTGGATGTTTTCTTTGATCTGGGATATGTTTTGAGCTACTTGGTGATGGTTGTGATCGGGACGACCGAGTTGCACGTGAACGTGTCTGTTTGGGGTAATTTTGGAGAGCGCTCGCAGTTGGGCTTTAGTAACAGCACCTTGCCACGCATTTGGTGCGATCAGGTCCTTCTGGTGGCTGGTCATGGTTTAGGGTGTTGCAAAACGTTTCATGACTTGGATTGTCTCAGATTGCATCAGGTATAAGTGCCAAATTCGCTTTCCCTTCAGAGTTCCTCCAATACATGGCAGTCTATGTGAGCATTGCTCACGTGTGCTGCGCTTGTCGCGCTGTTCAGAGAGGGCAAACGCCTGAGTTGGAAGCCGCGAGAGATGTCCGCCCGAAGGTTGTCCGGGCCCATGTGAGATGTCCATGGGTGAAACGCTTCCTGAAGTACATCTACTCACCATGTTTGACGGCGTTGCTTGTCTACTTGCTGATCTGTCAGGATGTTTATCCAGGGCACAGAGGAGACTTCACGTGCTTCCCTTGCCGGTGTTCCGCTGGACGACTTCAAAGCTGCAGCTTGGCAGCGCAACTGCAGCAAGAGCAGCTTGTCATTGCTGGTGTCACCAGCATTGAGCCACAGGCATTCAAACCTTTGGGTTGCCGCCTGTCGCGGTTGTCGCTAGCAAACAATTCCATAACAAGCTTGAAACCAAGAAGCTTTGAGCATCTCCCTTGCTTACAGATATTGGATATCAGCCGGTCAAAACTCAGCATGCTGGCCAGGGACTCTTTCTATGGATTGGAGCAGCTGGAAGTGCTCTCCCTCCATGGGAACGAACTCCACAGCATCTCAGGAGACCATTTATCCCATCTGCCATCCCTTGAGAAGCTTCTGCTTGGAAGCAAGTCAGGCTGGAACAATGAAACACCGACAAATTACGAATTGGAAGCCGGAAACTTGATCAAGTTTCTGCCACCCCGACTATTTGAAGGAAATCCGCACTTGAACTATTTCGACGTCAGTGGCAACAACATCACCAAAGTTGACCGAGACACTTTCGTTGGAGCGAAAAACTTGCGAGCCCTGGACCTCCGTCGGAACAGCCTGCGAGAACTTCCTGAAGGACTGTGCATCCTCGTAATGCTAAGCATATTAAAACATATAAAACATTATAAAACATAATGCTGTTTTGACTTCTTAAAATTGTTTTGGCCAAAAATGCACTTCCCGAAGGACTTTTTGCTGGTCTCTCGAGTCTCCAAGCTTTGGAGCTGGATCACAATCAGCTCAGTGCACTTCCCGAAGGACTCTTTGCTCGTCTCTCGAGTGTCCAGACCCTGGAGCTGAACAACAACCAGCTCAGCGCACTTCCCAAAGGACTGTTTGCTGGTCTCTCGAGTCTCCAGACAGTGTGGCTGCACAACAACCAGCTCAGTGCACTTCCCGCAGGACTCTTTGCTGGTCTCTCGAGTCTCCAGATAGTGTGGCTGGACGACAACCAGCTCAGTGCACTTCCCGAAGAACTCTTTGCTGGTCTCTCGAGGCTCCAGACAGTGTTGCTGAATCACAACAACATCAGTGCACTTCCCGAAGGATTCTTTTCTGGTCTCTCGAGGCTCCAGGCAGTGTGGCTGGACCACAACCGCCTCAGCGCACTTCCCGAAGGACTCTTTGCTGGTCTCTTGAGTCTCCAGAAAGTGTGGCTGGACAACAACCAGCTCAGTGCACTTCCCGAAGAACTCTTTGCTGGTCTCTCGAGGCTCCAGACAGTGTTGCTGCACAACAACCAGCTCAGTGCACTTCCCGAAGAACTCTTTGCTGGTCTCTCGAGGCTCCAGACAGTGTCGCTGAATCACAACAACATCAGTGCACTTCCCGAAGGATTCTTTGCTGGTCTCTCGAGGCTCCAGAAAGTGTGGCTGGACAACAACCAGCTCAGAGCACTTCCCGAAGGACTCTTTGCTGGTCTGTCGAAGCTACAGAAGGTGTGGCTGGACAACAACCAGCTCAGTGCACTTCCCGAAGGACTCTTTGCTGGTCTCTCGAGTCTCCAGACAGTGTGGCTGGATAACAACCAGCTCAGAGCACTTCCCGAAGGACTCTTTGCTGGTCTGTCGAAGCTACAGAAGGTGTGGCTGGACAACAACCAGCTCAGTGCACTTCCCGAAGGACTCTTTGCTGGTCTCTCGAGTCTCCAGACAGTGTGGCTGGATAACAACCAGCTCAGAGCACTTCCCGAAGGACTCTTTGCTGGTCTGTCGAAGCTACAGAAGGTGTGGCTGGACAACAACCAGCTCAGTGCACTTCCCGAAGGACTCTTTGCTGGTCTCTCGAGTCTCCAGACAGTGTGGCTGGATAACAACCAGCTCAGAGCACTTCCCGAAGGACTCTTTGCTGGTCTCTCGAAGCTCCAGAAGGTGTGGCTGGACAACAACCAGCTCAGTGCACTTCCCGAAGGACTCTTTTCTGGTCTCTCGAGGCTCCAGGCAGTGGCGCTGGACCACAACCGCCTCAGCGCACTTCCCGAAGGACTCTTTGCTGGTCTCTCGAAGCTCCAGAAAGTGGGGCTGGACAACAACCAGCTCAGAGCACTTCCCGAAGGACTCTTTTCTGGTCTCTCGAGGCTCCAGGCAGTGTGGCTGGACCACAACCGCCTCAGCGCACTTCCCGAAGGACTCTTTGCTGGTCTCTCGAAGCTCCAGAAAGTGGGGCTGGATCACAACCACATCAGTGCACTTTCCGAAGGACTCTTTGCTGGTCTGTGGAGGCTCCAAGTGTTGGCGCTGCACAACAACAGCCTCAGTGCACTTCCCGAAGGACTCTTTGCTGGTCTCTCGAGGCTCCAGGAAGTGTGGCTGAATCACAACCAGCTCAGTGCACTTGCCGAAGGACTCTTTGCTGGTCTCTCGAGGCTCCAGAAAGTCGGGCTGGACAACAACCAGCTCAGAGCTCTTCCCGGAGGACTCTATTCTGGTCTCTCGAGGCTCCAGGCAGTGTGGCTGGACCACAACCGCCTCAGCGCACTTCCCGAAGGACTCTTTGTTGGTCTCTCGAAGCTCCAGAAAGTGGGGCTGGACAACAACCAGCTCAGAGCACTTCCCGAAGGACTCTTTTCTGGTCTCTCGAGGCTCCAGGCAATGTGGCTGGACCACAACCGCCTCAGCGTAGTTCCCGAAGGACTCTTTGCTGGTCTCTCGAAGCTCCGGGAAGTGTGGCTGAATCACAACCAGCTCAGTGCACTTCCCGGAGGACTCTTTGCTGGTCTGTGGAGGCTCCAAGTGTTGGCGCTGCACAACAACAGCCTCAGTGCACTTCCCGAAGGACTCTTTGCTGGTCTCTGGAGTCTCCAGAAAGTGGGGCTGGACACAAACCGCTTCAGAGCACTTCCCGAAGGACTCTTTTCTGGTCTCTCGAGGCTTCCAGGCAGTGTGGCTGGAACCACAACCCGCCTCAGCGCACTTCCTGAAGGACTCTTTGCTGGTCTCTCGAAGCTCCGGAAGTGTGGCTGAATCACAAACCAGCTCAGTGCACTTCCCGGAGGACTCTTTGCTGGTCTGTGGAGGCTCCAAGTGTTGGCGCTGCACAACAACAGCCTCAGTGCACTTCCCGAAGGACTCTTTGCTGGTCTCTGGAGTCTCCAGAAAGTGGGGCTGGACAACAACCAGCTCAGAGCACTTCCCGAAGGACTCTTTTCTGGTCTCTCGAGGCTCCAGGCAGTGTGGCTGGACCACAACCGCCTCAGCGCACTTCCCGAAGGACTCTTTGCTGGTCTCTCGAAGCTCCAGGAAGTGGGGCTGGATCACAACAACATCAGTGCACTTCCCGATGGACTCTTTGCTGGTCTCTCGAGTCTCCAGAAAGTTTGGCTGCACAACAACAGCCTCAAGGAAGGCAGTGGCTGAAGATATTTACGACTTTGGCTTAAAAAAGCTGAGATCGAGTGGGCTGCCATACATGTGTGATATGTTATATGCTGATATGTTGCTGAACCACCGTGCAATTGTATCCTGTCTTCCTGTTTATTGGTACCAGATTTTGATCGCAGCCACACGGTTCCTGTCCCGGCATCCGGCGCTGGGAACCGATGCCAGGTTTCGGGTTTCGACGCGGATGACCTTCATCATCTGGCAACGCTTGCGCCCATGGCGCCGGGCATCGTCACCAAAAGCCATGCATTCCTTGGGATTCTCAGCTGCGCTTTGTGTATCTCCTTGCGCTTTTTGGACTTTGAAACTTCGGAGTTTTCGTGCTCTTGGGGCTTTTTTGGGGCCCGGTTGCCGGTGCCAGACCCAGTGCCACAGTGCCACGTTCCGAGGAAGCCCTTTGCGACGACACACCTGCACAGGTAAACGGTGGAAGTGTCAGGGATGGGACATGTGAACCACGACTATGGAATATGGGACCAAACTTGACACTAGCTCTAGCAACATCGAGCTTGGTGCTCTTTCAATATGTAGCTTGGATATCGTCTCGCTGTTGAATTCATTGCAATGGCACAGGACCATAATGTGTAACCATTAGTGACAAATACGTAACAGCATGAGTTGAACACAAATGGCTGTTGTAACAGCTCACAAATCTTGTCCGTTGTCTGAGGGTTCACGGTTCCGAGAGGTGCCCATATCCTGTGAAGCCTTCAGCGGCTTCAGTCTCAACGGCGAGGCGCTCCTACCCGGGATGCGCGCTGAGAGGCTAGGTACCAACTTGAAAGGCTGCATACCTACCAGTGGACTTTTGAACCAATTATGGTGGGGATTAAATAATATTATATAAATATGTATATATATATATTTTTATCTTAGCTATTGTTATAACTTATGATTAAATCTTAACTTATGGTGATGCTTATCGAAGTTATACTGTTATACCCATTTTTCACCCCAGCTGCAGCCCGGAGTAGCTTGGCAAGTGCCCATCACGGGGTGCATCACTTTGGAATTGGCCCAGGAGAAAGCGCATCACGTGACGGAGTTCTACGGTTGTTCCGGTCACGCGCTTGGAAGTCCATTGGAAAACGTTTCAGCCAATTGCTGGGCCACCTGTTTGTATTTCGTTACTTTGTTTTCACTTAGTTTGCCATTGCTTTCGATGCTTACAGCTCAGGAATTTCCAAGACTTTGAAGACTGCGCCAATCACATCGCTTCTCAGCAGGATGACATCGTTTTTCCCGGAAAGGCTTTACAGCAACTAAAACTGCAACGGAAACAAAACATTCACAATGCGGCCAGGCTGCGAAGGAAGTGATTTCCGAAAACCTGACGGGTTTTTCTGCATCCACCTGTAATTTCCTGCAGAAAAACTCTCCGGCAGAAAAGTCTCCACTGGTTTTCCTGCTGATTTCAGGAAATCTCCTGCAACTTTTTTCCAGCAGCTTGGATTGTGACTATCTTGGACTTGGATTGTGGTTGTTTACTGTACAAGCATTTCTGCATGTAGCTTCACTTATTCATCCAGATCCCCAAGCAGTTCTTGGCACGATGAAACTATGATGAGGTTCATGCTTGGATGATAGTAGCAGTTCTAACTCTATTTTCAGAGGTTTCACGGCAAGGACCGTGAGACTGCCTGATTGGAGTGATTTGTGTGGTCATTTGTGATGCAGCGCGCTCCAAAACTCTTGGTTAAATAGGGTGCGGACTGGAGGGTCTGGTTTTCCTTCGTTGAAATCATCCAGATTTCATGGCTTTTGTTTGTGCTTCCACCGATCCAGTGATCCAGTCAAACCAAAGACACCATCTTGACATGTTCTTCAGTGATGTTTCACTTCTGCATGGACATCCGGTTACGGTTGTTTTCTTCACACTACATGGTACCATGTTCACTAGGTCAAAGGACAATAGCCCCTGTGATCAAACTAATTTTCAAATCGAACATACATTTAAATTCCGCATGCCTGCAGAAGGAAGAACACGTCCTGGGAAGAGCATCTGTCTTGCACAAACCGGCAAGACACATTCATGCAGACGAACATGGATGTGATTGCAAGGCGGATTCGAGCAATCACTCTTGGAAAAGGTTGGCATTTTTTGACCCCATGGCCCATGGCATAGATTCAAGAACCAAAGAAAAGGAAGCAGGAAAAGAAGCAGGAAAAGAAGCAGGAAAAAGAAGGAAGCACAGGAAGGAAGAACGAAGGAGAGAAGAAGAGAAAAAACATGAAATTATATGAACTTATGTAGGTTGAAATGAATCGAAACCTTTTCTACATGGATGTAACTAGGTTATTCAAAGTCTAAACTTGAAGTGAAGGGGGGTTTGGAACATTTTGGAACCCCTTCAAGGCCGGTATTGTTTTCTCTGCATTCTTGATGTGATCAAAGATGTTGCCTTTGCTGTTTAGAAGGCAGTGATACGCAGTGAAATCATTGGGGGTAAACAAAAACGGGGGTTAGACTAACCACAACGTTAAACCTTGTGGTTGGAAGATCAGGGTTTTTCTAATATTCTGGAATTCACCAAGTGACCGCATGAACAAGACATCGCGAAAAAGGCCACGGAGGCAAAACCTCTACAGTAGGCCCCGGAAAACCTCGACATTCAAATTGCTGTGGCCTTGGTTGTTCCAGCAGCTGCGGCCCACCACGCGGCCAGTGTTTTTTTTTTGGTCCGAAGGTAAAAACATGCCAAAGGATACGTGTCAAATCCTATCAAAATGTAGGGTTCCGCAGCTCAATTGACTACACGTTTTGGCCGCAACCCTTTTTAGTAACCACGCATAGTCGGTTTGTTTTTTTTTTAAATCAAACGGTCAAAGATGCAAAGATATACCGATGTCATCCGATGTCCTCTGTGAGGCTCCAGGGGAACATACAGCAAATTCACTGCAACGAAAGAAAAAAACAGTTGGGTTTGAGGGGTTTTGGTTGATTACGTATGCCCCTTAGTGTCGTACTAGAACTTAACTTGCGCATTTTGGAACATCCACATTTAGTGGGACAATTTATCCAGCTTACGGAGGAAAAAATGAGGCAGTGAATGTTAAAAAAAAATAAAACCATGTCCCCTGGTCGTTTTCAGCATTCATCTTGGTGGTTCGGACACTTTGTGTCTTAGTATGCCATGGGGCGGCTCGCAGATGTGGCATGGCCAGACGAAGAGGACGTCCCTCTAGTTTCGCACATAGCACGTCTTAGGTCAACACGAAGGGCTTGGTGATCCCTATGCCACCATTGCCCTTAGAGCTGTTGGTTGCTAGGAACTTCGATGGCGCCACCATTTCAAGGTTCGGAACTGGGGCGGTGCAGTTGGCGCGAAGGACAAAGGATGAACAAGTTCCCATATGCCGTGATCAGGTCAGCCCCCAGAGCACAAGCAGACAAAGTTTCTGCTCTACAGATCTTGCAGAACCCGGCGACGCCCAACGGTTCGGCACTGAGATGATAGGGGTGAGGACTTCAATGCACCACTTGTGGTTGAACAGTTTTTGCGGAAACATCGGCAGACACATGCACATGCACATGCATATGCAGATGCACGTGCACGTGCACGTGCGCACGCATGTGAACTCGAACTTGTTCATGTTTCTTTGAACTCTCTCACTTTATTTTTTGTCAGTGAGGGCCGTTGGTTTTTGCATGTGTTTTTAGTTGTTCCTTTCCTATCTTTTCCTTCTATCTTTCTTTTTATTCCCAAACCGTTCACGAAAACTGCCATAATCCATTTGTCCACATTCGTGAAAACTGCTGTGACTTCAGCCCTCGACCGAATAAACCCAAGATCAACTGTGTGTCGATTCATTTGTTCCCACCAAATGTAGGCAACGCTAACATAATTTTGTCGATATTGGTTTCCCTGTTGGGTTTTGAATTGGCCATAGAGTTTTGACTGAATTGTCCTGAGGGTGTCTGAGGGTTAGTTCAGTCATGTTCAGAGTTAAGGCAGACAAGCTCAGATAGGTTCAGATGATTTGTCTTGGAATCCTTTGGCCAACTTGGAAAAAATCAGCAGTTTGCACCACCTCGACATGTTTTTCGGTATGCTGAACGTGCATATGTATACGTTTTTGCATGTTTTTGCTATTCTGTAGCAGTTTTGGTGAAATGGGCACTTTTCATCTTGTACACTTTGTATCGATGGAAGGATTGGTACATTTCACGAGCGATGTTTATGAGTTGTACATGTCCTGAGCTGAGCTAAAACACTGAACGACCTCACGCATTTGATGAGCTAGTTGATCTAGTTGATATTTTGAGCTGATACATGTTCACGAGCTCGCGGATTTTATGAATTTATGAACTGGTCGAGCAATTCACGCGCAAACATGCCACTACAAAAAATGGATCGTACATTCCAAGAACGGAAAAATTATGAAAAGGCAGCAAACAACAATTTCATTATCATGACACTTTTGTGACACACAGTTCGGAAACAGATTCTCATGACCAACAGGTTGATGTTATTCATACTGTCCACAAGCAACAAACAAAACAAATAGTTATGAAGCGTAGTAACAACATGCACTTGAGGAGCCACATGTGGCGGCTAAATGTTTCATAATTTTCACACTGGCAATGTTGTATGCAATGTTGCAGCAAAAAATGTCATGACAAATTCATGAACATTTTATCAGCATGCAATCTGCACATCTTGAGCCAAAGAAACAAAAACTTGCACTCAATGTGGACAATTACGATTGATGACCATACATGCCATGATGAAATACTGCTGATGATTCAGCATACATTTCATGACCCCGACGCATTTATTGAGAAGCTGTTCCATGATCATTCACTGCCAGCTATAGTCAAGGAATAGTAGCTTGTGTGTGTGAGATGGGCTAGCGGTTTTCTGCGCTATTTGTCACCATGCCATTGTGGGCGATCCCTTTTTGATCTGGGCAAAGTGTGAAAGGAACGAAAACGCCTCTAGTTTGCAGGACATGGCGAAGAAAACCTGCCTACG